ACAATTACTGAATGATTCATTACCTAAGCGTGAACTAAAAGTACTCACATGCTCAGAGCTAATATTCTTTTCATTAAGGAAAGTTTGCAGGTGCTTACTTTTAGCTTCAACTGAAATTTTTGCTTATGCACAGCAAATTTTCACCAGCGTCACCAGTGGCTCTGTCTGAGCCCATTTCGGAATTCATGAATCACAGCTCCTGGAGCACAGTGGAGCACACCAAGGGGAATTCAAGCCGAGTGAAACCTCTCCGGTGTTATAGCTCTTTGCCTCTCCTATCTCTCCGTCTTTTAAAATTTATTATCTTTTCCTGCTTTGCTGCTTAGAAGGGCACAGGCTTTTGCCTGCAAGCCAAACTCTTTACAATCACTCTGAATTTGGTTGTAATGCACAAAAGTTAGGTCACTGTTTATAGTTTTCAGAATTCATCAGGAGGTCCCGGTTGAGTCAGAGCACACTCATGCTATTGTTCACGATCTTTTTCTTTCCTTTGCAACTTTGGCTTTTCCCTGGGTTCTGTCGACCTTCTTTGGGGTTTGAATTAATTGGCCTAAGCTGCCACAAACACTGGTAACACAGAATAGCAGAGAGGTAAACAAGCCTCTTTGAGTGTCTAGATGATAGTGCAGTGCAAGAAGTTCCCAAATTAAGTCACATGAATTTCATTTCTGACTTTCTGTGCTAGCTTTGTATCAGAATCATCAATAAAATTTGGCCCTCTGAAGATAGTCTGAACATTTCTGTTTTAGATCCCTCTGGGAAATTTCTAATGTCTCTTAAGGGCTGAGAACCACCAATGAACTACCACAACACAGTCTGTTGTGATAGACAAGTCTACCTACAGTCCCATCTTTGTATCTGAACAGCCCTAACCAGGTGATTCTCTTATGTGTTTCTCATTTAGATTCTACTTTTCCATTGAGTTTTCTTTATGCCAACTGAAAAACTGAAATAATAAAGTTCACCTAGATTCTTAGAAAACAAACAAAGATATATAGCATTATAATATCTATATCTTATTAGATACACATAATCAGCATTATATCAGGAAAACTGTCCTTTATTGTGGACTTTGAGCGTTAGAATGACGAGAGTGAACCTATCTATCCTTGGGACTGGCAGAAATATAACTCACAGCATAAATGAATTTATTGTTAAGTGAAATGTCTTTTGATGGAATTTTACTACATTTCATATGTAGAATACATCTCTGGAATTCCTTATGCCTAAATTTAGACCACTGCAATGATTCATTAAAATCCAATTAGATTAAAACAAAAAATTACAAAACAATCCTGCAAGCTATGCTTTTGCATTTATAAGGCCATTTAGAACTACCATAGTTAAAATGGTTGATACATTAATTTGATCTCACATATATTCTTTCTAACTGCTGTTCATGATAGTGAAGTAACAGCAGGCAATAGAAAATACTTAACATGGGGTTGGGGATTTAGCTCAGTGGCATAAGCGCCTGCCTTGCAAGCAGGCAGTCTTGAGTTCGATCCCTGGTACCGATAAAAAGGAAAAAAAACCCCAAAAAAAAAAAAAAAAAAAAAAGAAAATACTTAACAAAAGCATTGTAAACAAAATGAACATAATAAATAAAACTATTATAAACAAAAGCAATACAAACTAGCTTCACAAAAATTATTTATTTTTATTTAAATATTTTCAACATTCATATTCAATTTCCAAACTTCTAATAAAATAAAATGAGCTTAATGATATGTTATAAAAATGTGGATTTTCATGTATATATGCTTTATAAACAAACGTGTAATAGACATTCAATCAGTGAGTTAAGGAATAAATATAAGATGTCACTTCTGTCTTAAAAACTAACATTTTAGTTTGGAGAGAAAAAAACATACATATCTGCAAAACAAAACAGAATATAGAAAGTTCTTTAATAGATATGCAAACTATTTTGGAAGTAATAACCGTAATTACTGAAGGAGTGTGAAAGTATTATACCAGCTGAGAAGAATCTAGAAATGCTTCTTGAATGATGTGACATTTGAACTATGTCTTGAAAGTAGAGAACTTGATACTCTGAAATGTCAAGGAAGCCACTTGAGTAAAAAGTGAATGATGAGACGATACACAATGCTTTGGCAGAGAGATGTGGAGAGATGTGACCAATGTCAAGGACAAACTGTAGAAAGCTTTCCATAAGAAGCTAAAATTATTTTCTATGTAGTGGATCCTCTCATGGTTCTCCAGAAAGATCTCTTTTAAAAGGATTTTAAAATCTTGGAGAAAGGTGAGGCTATTTTAGAGAATGGGTAGGCTGTGTTACTAAACATAGAGATGAAAAAGATGAGTCAAGACACTGGGAACAGAATGGTGAGCTCTGTTTGGAAGACACCTTTGATGCCAAAGCAGCCAGTTGTGAAGATTAGGTGAAGAATGAGCAAATTTTGCTCTCAAGCATATTTTGTAAAAGAAGTATTTCCAGAATAGATGATATTACCTAAATGATTCTGGGTTTCTGGTACAAATTTTGAAAAGGATTATGTTCCAGGTCACTATATTGCTTAGCATATTTCAGGAGAAAATGACAAACTGAAGAAGTATGCAGGAGTTGACAGAGGAAGGAAAGTTGCAAATCAAATGCCACTGCTACATAAGTTGCAAGAACTAAGAGAAAAATTGATGTTAAAATCTGAATGATGTCTCAGGCACAGGAGACAGATGAGCAGGAGTTAGAATGGCGAACGTGAGGAAGGGTAGATGTGAGCTGTACTCACAAACTGGTGGAAATCCCTTATGGTTTATATCTATATGTCCCCTCCAAGCCTCATAAGCTCCAAGTGGTGGAGTTTTGGGAGGTATTTGGATCATGGTTGCATAAGTGGATTAGAAGCTAAATGTGAGGTTAAGAGGTGAAGCCTGGTCAGAGGACCAGGTCACTGGGGCCATGGCCAAGGAGGGTGTGTCTCCCTCCCACCTCCCCGATCTCTCTGCTGCCTGTCTGCAGCCCTACCTTGATGCCAGCCAACTATGGACTGCAGTGTCTACCAACTGTGTGCCAAAACAAACCTTTCCTCCTTTAAATTGTATGTCAGGTATTGTGTCTCAGCAATGACAAAAGTAACTAAGACAAAACCAAAAGGCACAGAAGCAAAGGAATTCATGAAGAATTGACTTACATGAGTAATTGTGGTTCAGGAAGGCGGAGAGGATAGAGATTCAGTGTACCTGCTAATGAGATAATACATAACCCAGTAGTGAATTGTCAGCTCCTTATTATTCAGATAAATTATATCAATGGAAATTTTTAAAGAAATAGATATTTTTTTCTTTTTGCAAAAAATTAAATAAGAACTGGCTTGCTATTCCTGACCTATGGCTCACACTTGAGCACTGGAAATCTACCAATTTGTAGTAGGCCTCAATGTCAGATTTGAGCCTTGGAAGGCAAACCTGAGCTAAGATGAATAAAAGATATGAGCTGCTAAGAAAATCTGAATTGCCTGGACCTGGGAAAGGAAGATCAACAATTCTGCATTGAATGCAAGTTATAGATGTTGTTGTTTTTAGTTTTATTTTCTCTTCAATTAAAAAAAGTATATGTATTTAAGAGGTACAGTGTGATGTTTTGAAATGTGTAGGCTTTGTGCAATGATCATGTCAAGTTGGTTAGCATAGTCGTCAACTCAAATATTCATCATTTATTTGTGCCAAGAACATTTCCAGCCTTCTCATGTGCATTTTAGAATATGCGTTTTTATTAACTATAGTCACCATGAAATAGAACACCAAGACTTATTTTTCCTATCAACTGTAACCTCAGGCCCTTTGAATAACATCTCCCCTTTCCCTGTTCAATTCCCCAGTCTCACAGCCTCTGGTAACCACCTTTCTACTCTATTTCTATCCAGGCAACTTTTTAGATTCCACATCTAAGTGAGATATTATGGTATTTGTCTCTCTGTGCCGGGCTTACAACATAATGTCCTCATTCAAGTTGTTGCAAATGACAAAACCCAAAAAATCTTTGCCATTTCTAACCACCAGAGAAATATAAATTAAATCCTCAGCAAGATATCACTTTACACGCATTATAGGAACTATTGTCAGAAAGTTGAAAGATAACAAGCATTGGAGGAGCCTGAGGAAAAAGGAACCCTTGTACACTTGTCATGGTTTATGCCTGTATCCCCCAGGCCTCATGAGTTTGCATTGTGCATTTGTGATAGTTCATTGTCTAGTGCTTGGATTGATGGTGTCAGTGCTCCACCCACATAGGGGTGGGGCCAGGATGTGATGCAATGGCAGGAAGAAGGTGTGTCTTGCTCTTTGCTGGTTGGAGCTTGCTGTAGGCGGCTGCTATGAACTGCGGTCCAGCCATGCCCGCCTGCCTTGGAGCCAACTGAATGTGGACTGAAACCTCCAAAAACTGTAAGAAATAAACCTTTCCTTTCCCAACTTGGGCATCAGGTATTTTGTCTCAGTGACAAGCACAAAGTAACTAAGACAACACTGCTGGTGATATTGTAAATTAGTGTTTTGGAAAGTAGTATGGAGGTTTCTCAAAAAACTGAATTATCATGTAATCCAGTGACTCACCTATGAGTACACATGTAAGGGAAAAGAAATCAGCGTGTCTAAAAGACACCCGCACCTGTTTGCTTGTTGTAGTGTTATTCACAATGGGCAAAATATGCAAACAGCCTACATGTCCATCAATGGAGAGGTTTTAAATGCAGAAAGTATACACAGTAGAATACTATTTAGCCTTTTAAAACCCGAATCTAGGCTCCAAATGATGTAGAGCCCTAACTATAACAGTCACAGTCACAATACACAACCACTTAGATTTCAGTGGATTTTCAGTAGTTTAACAAGCTTTCTTTCTGTATGGTGATTAATGCCTGTTGAAAACTTGGTCTTGTTTTATAAATGAACAGAACATAAAATGTCACTCCTACCTTTGCAATATTAAAGGAAGACAAGGTTAATTAGATCACATAGGATTCAGATGTAATACTCACCAGAATAATCTTGCGGACAGATACAAGTGTATCTTCCTATCTCGTTGAGGCATATAGCTTCATTCTTACAGGGATCCGAAACACATTCATCTACTTCCAAGTCACAGTGCCTCCCTTGATATCCTGGGACGCAGAAGCAGAAATAGCCATTGATTGCATCCTGACACACTGCCCCATTGTGGCAAGGGCTAGAGGCACACTCATCGTGATCTATCTCACAGAATCTTCCCCCATACCCAGCAGGGCAGATGCAGACCGGGTGAACGGGGTCCTGAAGGCAAGTGCCACCATGTTGGCATGAGCCCATACCACAGGAGCCAAGGGCAGTTTCACAAGTCACCCCATTATACCCGGGAGGACATTGGCACTGAAAGCCCCTTTCTCCTGGGGTGTTCATGCAAGTGGCAATTCCTTGGCAAGGATTGGAGGAGCAGGGATCTTTCATGTTGTCACAGTCTTCGTCCAAGTTATTGGCTGTGTCTGAACAATGGCACTTGCTGTCTTGTGAAAAACTTTTGCATGTAGAATTATTTTGGCAAGAATTTGAGAGGCACCTGGTGGTGTTTTTATCGCAAAAAGAATCTACAAAGAAATAAAAAAAATCAAGATTAAACATAAAAATGGTTGTGAGCAAAATTAAAGGATTTCTTTCCTTTTGATCCTGCCACTTCAAACTCATTAACAAAAGACCTACTTTCTACAGTAAAATGATGAGCAGTAATTCTTCATGTGTCAAAACTTTTTACATAGTTGCTAATAAGAAATGAAAATGGCCAGTTTCAGATTCTTTCTTCTCTTTTGTACCCCATTTTTCAAATCTAAATGGAATTGAAAGATTGGGGGAAATTGAAATAGTTCTTAATACTTCCCATTTACTCAGAATTCTGAAATTCACATTATTCATGGAAGATTTTTTAGAATACTAGGAAATTAATTGCAAGATTTTCCCTGAAGAAGTTGCCTAAGGAAAACTGGTAATTAAATAAATACTATTACTTTGTTTATCTTAGTTCCTAATTTATGCTCTAAAAAGTATAGAAAATAAAAATATAATAAAATACGATTATGTATTGAGAACCTACTTCCTTTGCTAAATATTCTATCTCCTCCGATGTAGCTAGTATCCTTGGAGCCCCTTGGTAAACAGAGGTATGGGTGTGTCCACAAGGAAGGTGCTAAAGACTCTGGAATTGTAGTCCACCACATGGGCATTATTAACTGATGCTACAGTTGTGTGCACTAAAGAGTCAATCACTTTTTAGAAAGACAATGATATTCTTTAAACATATAAAGGAAATGAAATTTATTGCATTATCACAACTAATTAAATACACAACAAGGAAATAAAGGCAGAGTGTGCACAGACTGCCACTGACAGGAATATTACCAGGTAAAGATTATAAGTACTCTAATATCTGTACCAGGCTTGAAAAAGAATATGGCATATAGTATTGTGCTTAGTACATAGGTGTACACTCAGTGAATGGCAAAATAATTTTTAATAGTGATAACATCTTTAAAACAAGACTTATATGAGCACATAAAAATTTGCAGGGTTATTTAAAATTCTGATTGGAATTTAATTTCAAGTCAATTCTGTGGCTATTGGAAATAGCCACAGAAATTTTGTTTAACTTTGATGCAAGACATATGCAAAGTAAGAAAATTTCCATACCCCTCTATGGAGGCTGCAAAATTGTTTCCTTGTAGTAAAGCTTGCCACCTACTGGCTATTGAAAAGTCTACACTGGTGAGCTTCAAACTGGCCTTTCTCTTTCCTTCTTTCCTTTTTCTTTTTCTTTTTCATTCCTTCCTGCCCGCCTGCCTGCCTGTCTGCCTGCCTGCCTTTTTCCCCTTTTGCTTTCCTTTTTCTTTTTCTTTCTTTGCAAGAGTAGCAAGATTCCTTCAGGGAAAATAAATGTCCTGAGTCCTCTCAATACACAGACAGGATGGGAGAACTGGTGAAGTTGGAGCAGACAGCCTGGTCTCCTGCTTCCCCTGGAATTGCCTCCAAAAAGTCTTAACAGTGTGAGATAAGTAGTTGGATAGAAAACAAATTTTTTGGTGCCGAGAATCAAACTTAGTGAAAGGATTTTTGCCCAGACAGGATACTGTAGCCAGGAAAGCCTCAACAGGAACATCCCCCACCCCTAGAGATTTACCTGTGACTCTATCTCCCCCCACCCTTAGGAATCTGCCCCTGGCACCAAACATGTGCCAATGAGATACCTGTGCATCTCTAATGGCCCTAGGGCACTACCCTAAGCTTAAGCTACTTATATACCCCCCCACGCCAAGTATCCACCAGAGAGAAAGCCAAACTCCAGCTGGGGGGTGGGGGTGGGGGAGTGTCGGTTCTCTCTCTCCGTGTTCTCAGAATAAAGGCCTCTTTTGTTTTATACTTCACATCTTTTGGAAATAATCCTATCATTTGGTGCCACTCCTCCTAACCTCACATAATTTTCAGAATTCTACCTCACCATGACAATGATCCTACCTCAATGTCATCCTGATATAATGACATGTCCTCAAGGGCACCTTTCCCTCTACCTCATCTGGGTCCTTATCTTGTCTCTTTGTTTTCCCAGTCTAACATATGTGCATTCACCAGTGAAGTTGTCCTGGCTAAAACACCTGGCACCAGCATCTATCTGGGCATCAACCGTCATCCCGTCAACTCCCCTAGACTCCAGTACAGCGCCCCCTGCCAGCAGGAAGTAGTTAGAGAAATCTTTGCCCCTTTTCATAATAATCTAAGACAGGATATGAAAAGGTTTTGGCCCAGACAGGACACTGTAGCCGGTAAAGCCAAGGAGCTCTATCTCCCCCACCCCTAGGAATCTACCTCTGATGCCAAACTAGTGCCAATGGGCTACCTGTGCATCCCTAATGTCCCCTCAGGCACCACCCCTAATCTAAGCTACATATAGGCCCCCACTCCACGTGTTCCACGGAGAGATCGCCAACCCGGGGGTAGAGATGTGCTCCAGGGGGTCAGGGAGGTTCTCTCCCTGCAATCTCAAAATAAAGGTCATTTGTATTTCATACTTCTTTTCAGCTGCCACCAGTCCCCCACAGTTCTATTACTTAGGATCTTGCACTTGCCAGGCCAGGGGCTGCACCACTGAGCTATATCCCCAGTCTCAAGATCAGCAATTTGAAAACCTCTATATGTAACAAAATGAAATATTTGTGTAGTTACTGTAAGTAGTTATTACTGTCTCTTCCACCAGGTATTTCTGATGGTAAAATGAAACACTTTGCAGGATGTAAAATCTAGTTTGACCAGTTTTTAAAATGACGAAGACGTAAATAACATCCAATGTGTTTGTGTGCGTATGCATGTATTTCTTTAGTAATTAAATTTATTTGGAAAACAGCCATATGGTTCATTTAAGTGGCTTACATGGACAATATATTTATTCAGATCAGTGAAACTGCAATGAATTATTTGGGGTAAGAGCATTTTAATTTCTCAGAAATTATTACTATTAATATTCATACCTTTGTTGTTGATGAAACAGATCTCTGATTTAAAATCATCAATTAAGACTATGGTTTGTCAAGTGTTTGTTTGTTTGCTTTTTACTGTCAATCTTTTGCCAACTTTTAAACTATCCAATCAAAGAAGATTTGCCAAGCAGAGGAAGATCTGTAGTGAGATGAGAGGAGAAACAGACCTGCAGGAGCCTGGCTCTGCCCCTCAGAATCTCACTGTCCTTATCTGCAAAAAAAAAAAAAAAAAGAGAGAGTAGAACTGACATCTTAGTGTTTTGTGAAGACTCAGTCACTAAGTGCTTGATGGACACATAGCTAATGTTCAATAAACGCTAGTTATTGTTGTATAAGAAATAATTATGAGTTCCTATTAGACTTACTAGATTGTGACTATAACAATAAAAATAACCAAAAAAGTATAATTCACTATAATTGCCACTGAAGGAATTTATTTCAGGAAACACAACCGCAAGCCCAGGTGCTCCTTCACATAGAGAGCCTAACATAATGGACTAATTCTCCATGCTAAATGCATCCTTTCTATGATGTATTCAGGCTCCGTCAAGGTTGAATAAAGATAAGTGTGGTACAGAATCATATAACATCTGTTCTTCAGTGTTTTCATTTTGCAAGAACATCTTTCCATCTAACTATAAATTTCAAAAGCTTGTAAATGTTTAGCTTAGAAAAACAGCTTAGGAAATGAGATTCGTGGTAAAGAGCTAACTATTCAGAGGACGTCCCATACCCTCAGCATCTATTTATTCGTAACAAATCCTCAATAATTATTTCTTGAGTATGAATTATTATCAAAGCCATGTGTTTTACCATAGTTATGCCTCTTTATGTATGAACCATATACATGTGTGTATATGAAAATATATGCACAAGTAAATGTATAATATTAATACTTGATCTTTTAGATTCTTTTTATTTAAATATTCACTTATCACTCCTGTGCTCATCCTTTTTTGGATTTGCTAACTCCATTCTCTCCATATAACTTCATTCCCTCCTCATAATTCTCTAATAATCTTTGTCTCCAGGTCTAATATTTATTGATAATAACTTTAAGAGGTAAATTTTCCTTGAGCAAAGGGTAGAAAAAGCATGGATGGAGCTACTATTATTGTTTGTATCTGACAACAATTTATTTAGCAATATTGATCACTCCCAATATACTTTCCACAGCATACACAAAATTATTTGTACTTATTGCTGTATAGCATATATTTTCCTAGTTTTTGTTTGTTTTCTTAAAACTACTGGAAGATCATCAGAGTCTTGGAAAATTCATTACTAAGGAATTTGCTAAGTATGGTGGGAAGTAATAAACTTACAAAGGCAAAATTCCTTCCATTTTAAATCTAGCTTTATGTATATTTAACTTAATTTTACCTAGATAAAAATAAGAGAGGAAAATGGGACTTAGGAACATAAAATTCATATTTGAAACAATTTCAAATGAATATTTTTACTTTCTTTCATATCAAACATTTTTGTACAAAATATAGCTAGTATTTACTAATAAAATGTTATTTGAATAAAATAGAAGGTATAAACAATGGTAGTGAAGCTGAGTCAAAACTTCTAGATCTAAAAATTTCAATTTATGAAAATAAAGTGTTTTCTTGCATTATTTTTAATCTGGATTTCTGCACAAAATGAAATTCCATTCCATGTTTGAAATGAGAAAGACATAGTGGAAACAGACACATCTTTATTCAGGACGTGGCCAAAATGACTTGCACATGCTAGTGAGTCAATAGAAATTTGTTGAATAATGAATGAGTGAGCAAGAATCCTTGAATTCACATTTGAGCCTTGCTGTGAAATTCTTAACTTCGGCCTCTTTTGATAAAATCAAGCAGGACAAATCATCAGTTAAATCACTTACTTTGATGTACAGCATGATAGAATCCACACGGAAGAGTTAAAATAAGAAGTCAGACTCCTTCTATCCAAAAGTAGGCATTCACTGTGTCACCCTTAGTTATTTCTGTACATGTGGTCTCTGAATTATTAAATTGAGAGTAATTAAGATAATGGAAAGAGTATAGTTTTGTGATCGGAGATACAGAGAT